TGAGGAACCGGAGGCAATTGTTGACCGAAAGACTAAGAAATTGCGACGTAAGATGGTGGAGTTAGTGCTTGTCCGATGGAAACACACGAATGGGCCAAATCTCACCTGGGAGACGGAGAGTGACATGATGAGTCGCTATCCGCATTTGTTTGCTGGTGTGTGATTCCGGGGACGGAATCATTCTAAGGTGGAGAGAATTGTAACGCCCGTGTTTCTAGGCTTGCCATTTTTAGCAATGTAATAGTCTAGGTTAACCTTGTAACTCAACTTGAAATAATAAGAATGTATTATTTGTGAATTATTTGAATTATGTGATTTATGTGTGTATTTTCTTAATTTTTATAATTTAATGAATTAAGAATAAAATAAGCGTCAAAATTTAAGTGTGAGATAAGCCCGACATCTTTGCATAAAGTTGTAGTGGTCGAAACAAGGATTCCGGAGATATAAGGAATGCCAAAATCCGAGTTATAACGAAGAAGTTATGACCTGTCGAAGTTTCGCGACAGAACCGACACGACGCCGAGTGACGTAAAATATGAATTTAAGATAGAGCGATATTTAGCCTTAGCGATCTAAACGAAAGTCGTAGATTTCGTTAAACCGAGAGCGTGCATAAAAGGAACGCCCAAATCTGACTTCGTATGAGGAAGTTATGATTTTCTAAGTTTCGACTTAGCAGTATGCAGCCCGAATACTCGATTTGAGATCGAGCGGTTTTTAGCCGAAACAATCTAAATGAGAATCGAAGATCTTGTTGTTAGTAGCGAAACAATGAAAAGTTAGGCGAGAACGGACGTCAGACGAAGAAGTTATGAATTTATAACGAAGTTTTTCTGTCCCGGCCTTCTAAAAATAAATAATAAAAATAAAAGTCAAAATTAGCCGACGGAGTCTAAATGAAAGTTGTAGAGTATGGTCTGACCTTCGCGTGGATATAAAGAACGTCGAAAACGGAGCTCGTATGCGAAAGTTACGCAATTTAGAAGTTTGACAAGTCAATTACGCCCCGCGTAATTTGAGTACGCCCCGCGTACTCAGTCGGATGCAACTTGTCTGACCAATACTCGAGTGCCACCAGTCGACGCACGCAGTGACGTCAAAGTACGCCCCGCGTAACCCGAGTACGCCCCGCGTAATTTGAGTACGCCCCGCGTAATCCCAGACCCAGCAGCCTATAAATAGAACTCGAATTCAGCCATTTTCTCTTGTTCAAACTCTTCCCTCTCTCTAAGTTTTGCCTCGTTTTGCGTGCCGTTTATACCCCAAAGCCCCGGTAATATTCCCGAGCCCCGAAGTAAGATCCGAAGCCCCGAGGATCCCGAAGAGCGTTATTCCCGAGCCGAAACGCTGCCCGCGAGGAGCCCGGTTTTGTGAAGATCTTCCAGATCTACGGAGAAACACCTCTTCTGCAAGCCGTAGTGCTGCCCGATCATCTTTTGATCAAGTGAGTGTGTAGTTATTTTCATTCCAACGCAATATTATGAAGTATTTCCTATAAAATACGTGTTATGTGTATATATTTGGTTGTTATACGTGTGAGTGTATATTCACTCTCTTCTATCTTATAGATCTGATGTATTCTCTATGAAATACGTGTTATGTGTGTATGCCTCATCTGTTATGTGGAATATGTATTGATTAAAACATGTTATACAGGTTTTTAAACTATGTATAAAAACGTATATTTTTATCTACTAATATGTTGGGTAGAACATGGGTAGATAATTGGTGTGTAATAAACAGATGAGAGGCCTCGGTGTTATTGGTGTTATTCTAGTCATTCAGCAGAGTATGGATGACGACCACGGACTATTCTAGACTGTCCTGTGGAACACTAGCAGGCTCATTACCTGTAGGTGTTGTGAACGACGTGTTCACCGGTGTACTCTATCCCCCACATGGTTGCCTTTAGGACACTTATTGTTGAGGAAGCCCCTCTGCAGTGATGTCCGTCCCGATGAAAAATCCTGAAATAGGTTCCTTATAATAGACGTTATTTTTAGGAACGTAAGGTGAGGATAACGGGAATGGGTAATCGGGTTTATTGTTGATTGTTGAAATTAAATATAATTATTGTGGGTTGAAAACCCTATATGCTCACCAGGCTCCCAAGCCTGACCCACTCAGTTGATTTATTTTACAGGAAGTGGCGCAAGAGCTTAAGATGGGCGAACATCAAGTTGTTTTTTTGTTTACAAGTCTGTATATGTATATATTTGTTGAACGACTTGTAATGTTATCGTTTACGCTTTATGACCTGTATCGGAACATGACATCCCGACTTTTGATTATGAAATGAAATCATATTTCTTTATGAAATGTTTTGATAAATATCTATTTTATCATGTTTTGTTTTTGGGAACAAATTCCGCATCTCTTTTAAAATTAAAAGGATTTACTCTGAAAATTATTTTAAAAAGCATAAATGAAATCGGTCTTTTCTGACCGAGATTTTGGGGATGTCACAATTTTCTCCATCAATAAAAAACTATAATTTTTTTTTTTTCTTTTTCAAGTTCACAAACACATAACATTTACTCTTCAAATTCGCACATACAAAACAATTTATTATATCATTTCATCCAAAGTAGGTCAGACTCCAAATCCTTAAATGCGAAACCATTTGTTATTTAATTACATCCAAATTATCAAGCACGTGATCCTTAAGTTTTCATATATATATATATATATATATATATATATATATATATATATATATATATATATATATATATATATATATATATATATATATATATATATATATATATATATATATATACTAGCCGTTTACCCGTGCCAAGCGACGGGCGCAAAACATAATCGAATGGGAAATTGTTTTTCTCTTCGGCTTGAATGGGAACATGCTATCTTCGAACAAACATAGAGGAATCCTTGGACTGGAGTATGTGTGGAAGATTTGCAATAAAAGTTGAAGGCCATTTGAACCGGTGGACTTGACCTGGACCAGTATCATTTTATGTAATCGGCGTGATAGTTAGATTGTCAATTTTTCAGTTTAGTTAGGCGGTTTGGGCATTGAACGGAAATTGTACCATAATTTTGCAGTTCGTTTAGGCTGTTTGGGTATTGGACCGAAAATTGTACCATACATAATGAATGTTGTACCGGAAACAATAAATGTTGTGACAGTCCAACAAAATAAATGTACAATACACTTCATCGACAATGGAATATTGTATTGGTATAAAAGTGAATGAAAAATTAAAATAAAGATTCTTAACCTTTCATCACAAAGTCGCAACTAACAATCCGGATAGAAAATTTAAAAATGATTATATTATAAAATAAAAACAAAATAAAAATTTTACGTACAAAAAGTTAAAATTTATTAATTTTAATAAAAGATTTTGAAAATTCAAATAATACATAGAAAAATAATCAAAGTTTTCTTTCCTCAATAGTTCTTTTCGCCGGTAGCCAATTTTTTTAACAATAGTTTCTCGACGCGTAGTTAATAGTTTTTTTTCAAAGAATAGTTTCTTATCATTAAAAATATCATATTCAAAGGAACACATCACCGATTACCTAATACTCAATCATTTACTGTTAACGATCAATTTGTTTTTGATGGTCGACGAATATTGCACTATTGGTCATATTATGTCCAATTGTTGTAGTTATTTGTCGTAAATTTGAAAGAGTAAACTTGAAATAGAAGCATATATATATATATATACAAATTACAATTTTGTTTAGAATTCAATATTATTTTTCAGAAATTACTAAATCTACTTGTCAAAAATATAAAGTAAGGTGTTAAATGTGGATACTTGGTGTATAAATTTTAATGAATTACAAAAGTGAAAAAAGTTGCCTTGTGTATAGGACATTGAATAATTACCAACTTTACCTTGGATATATGATAGAAGTGCTTTCACCAGTTGCATTTCTTGCTACAAATTAGGAAAAAAAAAGTGGAAAATGAATATTTATTGTACATTAGCCTTGGAAATTTGAGATCAAGGAGCAAAAGTCAAATAGAGAAACAAAGACTATTGAGGGTATTTTAGGTATTTAAGTTTTTTTTTTTATCAAACCACATGTCAAGACAAATTAACGAAGGGAGGGTATTTTAGGTTTTTGATTTAGTTAGATTTTCATCAAAATGTTTATCAAGTTGAACACACTGCAGGAGTACTATTGAAGGGTATTTTAGGTATATAGTTTGCAATAAAATATTTTTTTTTATCAAGTCAAACATAGAATGAGCACTATTGAGGGGTATTGTATTTATAGTCAAAGATTACAATAAAATTATGTGTTAGTAGAACAATAAGATGGAGTAGGATTGAAGGGTATTTTAGGTATCATATCTCTATAGTCGAAGATTTCTATTAAAGTAAGATGCAGTGGGTTGGTAGTATTAAAGGGTATTTTAGGGACCAAAGAACACAAAACAGATTGGAAATCAGTAATGATGCACAATCTTCAAAATCACTGTATATATACCTGGTTATATGCTTCCTCAGACTTGCAATTAACAACCATACTGGTATAATTATTGTCTCATATTTTCTAACTTCCTGGGCTACAATGCCCCTAAGTTCAAAATCCCCATAATTTTAACTTCAACTTCAATTTTTCCATCCTGCAATCATAACCATCATTTAAATAAGTGGAATTTCATAATTGGGTTTTGAATTATGTATATAAGAAAATTACTTGGTGAAAGTGTCAATAGAAACTGTAAATGTTAGTAACATTTAATTAAATATCATGAAATACTAAAAAAAATATATATATAATTTTAAATAAAAAAAAAATCAGAATTCAAATGCTTTTGGGAATGTTCAATTCCATTCATTCTTTCGATTCTATCATACCAAACAAAACAAAATAATTCTTAATGTAAAAAATAACTTGATAATAAATGAAATAAAAAAAAAAGATATTACCAGGACTTCAAAACTAAGTTTATTAAATAAATAAATAAATAAACAAGAAGGGTATAAATAGCAAAGGAGAAAAGTAAGCTACCCGTCTTTTTGGCCAAAGCCTAAACCAGGGACAGTAGAAATGCCAATGGCTTCCAAGAGCTTGAGGCAATAGAAAACATCAGGAACTTTTCCAGCACTTGTTGCAGCTTCAATTGCTTTTGGGGGTAGTTTTATTTGTGGGAATGAATACATGGCGCCTGATTTCAAATTTAAATAAATAAGAAAGAATTAATATCAAGAAATATAAGGTCAGAGAACAATTTTATTGGAAAATGGCTAACCTTCTGTGAAATTACAAACAACACTTTTGCAACTATTGAATTCATCTGTCATCATGTGTGCTCTCTTCCTTAGTGATTCAAGGATACCCTTGCTGCATTTGTTTACCAAGAGAATTGTCTAAAATACCCCTCCATAACAACAATACTTTGCAAACAAGTAATTTTATCTTTAAACTACTCTAATCATCTAATTATTATACCATTCAGTGATGACAAAATAAGTGAATTTTTTTATAAATCAACAGTTTGTGAATGATGAAAATTTGAAAATGGACAAATAGGTAATTTTACCTATCTGTAAGAAACTGCTCGTACGAAATATCACCTCCGAGTGTAAGTTCTTGAGCTGAAGTACTAACTTCCAACATCCATGTAGCAGGGTTATATCCGTCTTTTACCTTACTTACGCCATCAACAACCTGTTTTATCAAAACATTCACTAAGGTTAAATCTCAATATCTCATTTCATGTCTATATGACTAATAACTCAAAAGATTTCATTTGTTTTTAGGATCATAGTAACATTTGCAAACAAAAATCTAGATTAAAAATGTTACCTATGGTTAAATCTCAATATCAAAATCATTTAGATAAGTTCTCAAGCATGCTGCCTTGTGTGAAATCAAAAAATTGATGAGTATAAATAGTTTGTTGAAATCAACTTACAAAAATCGTGAAATATCATACTCACAGATCAAGTATTGATCGGAGCAACCTGAGCCCTGGTGTCTTCGTCGTCAGCAGCGGATTCCTCCCCCTCTTTGTGTTCGGGATCATTGATAGCCATTATAGTTGAGGATCGAAGATGCTGAGACCTGAGAGCATCTAGGGTGAAAATCGAAGGCGGGGAAAGGGTTTATATTGGAAATGTTGGAGAGGCGTCAAGGTTACCTCGACTGCTTTAAGCCTGCCGATCGGAGTAACCTGAGCCCCGGTGTCTTCGTCATCAGCAGCAGCGGCTTCCTCCTCCTCTTTGTGTTCGGGATCATTGATAGCCATTAGTTAAGGATCGAAGATGCTGAGTAGCAGTAGTCTCCGTTAAAGATCTAAAAAATCAGAGGTTTGATTGATCTGTTCATCACCGCCTCCGTATGAAGTTGGAAAATTGATTTGTTTATCACCTTAGGAAAGGGGCATTTTGGCGGTGTCAATGTGAATAGGTTAGATGGCAGTGTGTTTAGGAGATTAGGTAAGGCCCTTCTACTGTATTAGGGTGTAGTATATGATCCGTGTAGTGTTTAGAATAATAAGTATAATGCTTAATATGTTGTACACGAGGTAATATATGTTGTACCTCTTAATTTTTAAGAAATGGGCAATATCCTTAATAATATAGTATATATATATATATATATATATATATATATATATATATAAGTTATTCACCTCCTAAGAACAGTAGCTGATAGGGTACTATTTTTTGGGTTACCATAGGGGTTAGGCCTTTTACTTCCCGATCCTTCCGCCACCGTTCACTTTAGGTTCCCTCAGCGCTCCACTGTCTTCCTTTTATCTATGTTCCAAATTTCATCCAAACTCTCGGTCATCTTACTTTTCTCGATGCTTCCCACTGCTCACCTCTCATTTGGAACATCGACTGCACCACAAAACCTCCGCTTCACAATGTTCATGGAGTATGTTTAATCCGATAATTGTTCATCGTGTTAACGATTCACCGCCTCAAAATCCTGCTCATCTGTTTCTCACTCTATTTGCTTCTAATTCCATTACCCTGTTAATGTTTCTGAAGTTCATATCCTCTGATTTTGTCATTCTTAATCTATAAGAAAAAACCCTAACTTTTTGTTTGATGGCTGATTTACAGTATAGATGCCTAGAGATAGGAATGACGGGGAGGGCTCAGGCCGTTACGGGAATACGGAGGAGGAGTATGTGGAACGAGGCGACTAAACACATACACATATGAGAAGGTATATCCTACTTTTTTGTGAACATAAAAATCATATGATGTTCATTGAAGGAAACAGGTTTGATGTTATTTTCTCATATATTTCAAATACACAGGAGCAGGTCGACAATGTCAACGGTGGTTTGAAGTTTCAACAATACCCTCCGTCGTCATCCTTTCTCTACCTACCTCCTCGGTTGGGAAACGTTTTTGGTGTGTATAAGTTTAGAAGGTAGATATCTTTCATTCATCAGTGATGTAACGCTTGATTTATGGGTTATTCAGTTTCAACATTTTTGGACTTTTGGGCTAGAACTCGATGAGTTGGGGAGTTCCAACTCGTCGAGTAGAGATCAGTTTGGATGCGGAATAAAGGGTCTACTCAACGAGTTGGAATGCCCCAACTCGACGAGTAGACATTGGAAAGGAAAACCCTAATTTTCAAGGTTTGTACCATATTTAAAGGCCTTAAGCCTCACTTGTAGCCTCCCTTATCACCCCCTTTGTCCAGAGAAACCCTAAATCGTGTCTCATCTCCCATTTTGAGTGTGTGAGGGCTTAAGGAGTGCCTTTTTGGTGTTTATATAAAGAAGCTTGAAGTGCTTGGTGCATAGCTGAAGGGAGAGGTTGTAAATCTGGTGTTTACTCTGCCGTGGCAACCATTTTAAGGTATAAAGTCGAAACCTTGACCTCCAATTGCTTAGATCTTCTTCTATGAAAGTTTATGGCTATTATTAGCCTAGTTTGGTACCATTCTTGGTTTTAAGCATGATATGTAGATATGGCTTTAGATGTGGGCATCTCAGGGCCTTTGGGGACTTAAAGTTGCCAACTTTATTAAGTCTTGGCCCTCCTTCATGCTCTAAGTCCCTTGACAAGCTTTGCTTAAGTATTTTTAGCCTTTGATGCCTTGCATGCATGTAAAGTTTGCAACTTTATGTGGCAACTACACTATTAGGGGTTTGATCTGTTGTTTGGAGCCTTGGATCCCACTGAAAAGGACTAAACACAAAAAGGGCTTAAGGGACTCGACGAGTTGCTTAACCAACTCGACGAGTCAGGTAGGGTTTCCCGTTTTCGGGATCCTGAGTGATTTTGGTGAGCTGATTAGGAGATTTCGGTTTAGAGTTTTCGGTCCTTGGACATTAAGGAACTCGACGAGTTACTCAGGTGACTCAGCGAGTTGATGGACTATGAAGGAACTCGACGAGTTGCTAGATGCAATGGACAAGTTGGGTCAACATGGACTGTTGACTTTGACATTGACATTTGACTTTGGGTAAATTAGTCCCAAGGGGTGCTTGGAGTAAACCAAATTATAATGAGTAAGGCCCGTAAGGAGTTAGGACCCAATTTGGAAAATTAGGCCATTGATGGATTTATGGACATCATAGTGTTGGGCCTTTGTTTTGGGCTTGGGCCTCAGTTTGGGTCATACTGGGCTAGGGGTAGAATGATCATTTTACCATCATATATGGATTAAGGATTATACTATGGAACTCAATTGCTAAATGGGTATACTGGTTGGTATTGATAGCTCGGGAAGTCGGCGGAGCAGCAGCTAAGGATGTCATTTGGGAAGCTTCTGCATTCGAGGCGAGTCTCCTCACCATACCAATGGGTTGAAGGCACCAAGGTCTGCCATTATTGTTATGAGTTATGATTAGTTGGTTATGGGATATGTAATATGCTAGTTATTTGTGATACTCACATGAAAGACCTCGGGTGGTTCCCGATGCACTTATGTGTAAGGCCTTGGAGGGTTTCCATGGCATTCTAGTATATTTTCTTGTATGCCATCCCTTAATTTTCTTGTATGTCATCCCTTAATTTTAAAGACCGTGTGGGGGTTCCCACGGCAGGAAGACCATATGGGGGTTCTCATGGCAGGAAGACCATGTGGGGGTTTCCATGGCAGTTAGCTAAGACCATGTGGGGATTCCAGTGGCACTAGGTGTAAGACCCTAGATGGTTTCCATGGCTTCCTTATATATTTATATGCATGACTTATGTGATTGATATGGTTTATGTAGCTGTTATAGCTGATATGGATTAATTGGTTATGTGGATTGTGTGGGGTATGCTCTGGAGGGACTCACCAAGCTTCGTGCTTACAGTTTTGTTTATGGTTTCAGGTATCATCGGCTTGGAAAGGAAGTGTCCGACTTGATCGCAACGCACACACCCTCGTTTTCCGCATTATGGGATTTTGGGACGTAACTCTGATAAATATTTTAATTAAGCAATGTTTTTGAATGATTGGATGAAGTAGTAATTATGTTTCACTATAATGAAAAATGAAATTTTTACCCTTGATTCTTGATTTTTGGGTCGTTACAAGTGATGCAAATTACATTCTTTGGATTTCATTATTGATTTGCCCTAAATCAGTTTATCACTTTGATATCTAGCTACAAGTTGTCTGGTCGTTGCCTCGTTTTGGTGAGTTAATTTCGAGCTACTTGATGTCCTATTGTATACCTATTATCACATGAAAAATATTTTGTTTGTTAAACATGAGCCACAATTCGGATTAGGGATTATATTTGAACTCCCAAAATGTAGCACGATTTTTTTGTAAAGATAGCTTATGGAACATGAATTTGATTCTATATGAGCAACCCTAATTGATGATATTCTTAACACTTGTATGATTGCAGGCACGTCAGAGGTTCCAAATGATCCAGCAACAGGTAGCAAATTATCAATCACTTTTCTAATATTATCCAAATCTTTCCATGGGTTTTAAAAAAGTTTTCTTTTTTGTCCCTGAATTAGGTGTAGGTGCACTTGCTTTAATTCAACTCCAAGGATACATGCAGCCACACAAGAAACTAATGATTGCGTCCCTTTGGAAACTCGATCTAGTAAACACTAAATCCACACTTTCACACATCTGTCAGATAGTTGTTTTACCTTTTTACCCTTTCTTCTTCTATAATCTAACATCTTTATAGTTTATGCTAATTACATTTTTTTCATGTTTTCTGGTTCTTCAAGATAATAGTATGAAAAAGGAATAACTGTGTGCACGAGCAAAAGGATTAAGGACACTTGGATGGATCTTTCAAGAGGCAAAAACAAGAAATGAAAGTGAATGTGAAATGTTACATGGTGGAAGTGGAGTGCATAATATTAATGGAGTTGATGGGGATAATGTTTCAAGAGGTGCAAAACTTTGGATAAACTCTCAAAGTCAAACCACCATGGCACCTCAAGTAAGAACTCAGAAGTACCAAATTGTTTTAAACTTAGTTATAATGGTCTGAAATGGAGAATAGTCAATTTTTATAACTTACGAAATGGAGAATAGAAGGTGTTGAGAATTTTCACTTTCTGATGTCGACTATGTTTGACTATGCACCCGTACTGGTTGATGAAATGCTTGAACCAAGGTACGCTGATTTTCAGTCAAATTAACTATTATACAAAATCTTTAATTTGTAAGATTTTCATATGATTGAATCTATTTTGGTATAATTATACATGGTGTTAGTGGGAAGCGTGTGTTTGCCTCAGAACTACAACGATTCAAATATCAACAAGCCCAATAAGCCTCTTCTTTCCTGAAATATTGCTTAAGTCGATTAAGATGCAATTATTTCCTATTGCTTAATTGTTACATGTTCAAATTGTTGAATTTCTTTTCAATTCATTATGTGTTTGATACCTCTGTTGTATCTATATGTACTTTGTAACATCCCAATTTTCAAGACCAAAAATATATTTTTAAATTATGTTACTTATCAAATCGTTTATTGAAAAACATCATCAATATCATATAAAACCATAATCACATGTTTCAAAATCATAAAATCAATAGTAATAATATCAAAGTACAATCCCATGGATCTCAAAAATGCAAAAATCATGTGCGCGCGTTGCGCTGCTACCGTGCAAGCTCCTTCCCCTGCGACGAAGAGGTACCTGGAACCAAAACTGAAAACCGTAAGCACAAAGCTTAGTGAGTTCCGTCATCATACCAAATACCATCCATAATACATATTCCCATGCATATCTGGGTGTCGGCCTCCCCTTCGGTCTATTTCAACTGGATATCTGCCTAGCATATCTGGGTGTTGGCCTGCCC